CTGCACAAGATCGAGATTGATGTCCTGGAAAAACGAATGGTTAATAACAATTGAAGATTAAATGGTGAAAACGAAACGAAAAAAAAACAAGCAAATAATCACCGCTTACCGTGTCCACTTCATGTGAAAAGGTGTCAAAGAAAAGAAGCTCCGCTGCATCGTCAGTTTCCACCATTTTACACTTAACTGAAGAAATTCAGCTTCTAATGCACTATGTACTGGTTTCTAGGGCAAAATAAAATGAATAAAATATTATAAAATGAAGAAAAATCACTATTTTCCACCAGCATCAGCCAAATCGGCTTTCTGCAAAAATTTGACAACCAATATGCTTCTTCTTCAATTGTTTTCTTGTTCTTTACGGCAGAGTTGCCGTTTCCCTTATGATGTTGCCAAATACTTTTGGTTGCAAAATTTTGAAATTTCTAGCAAAGTTACGAAGTATTTACGCATTCAGATAAATTCCCTGAAAATGAAATTTAGTAAATATGCAACTCTGCCACAAAACCTGCGAGCTCTACTGGCAAGAATATCATCTGCCTGGAATCCAGCGTTCCAGCCACGGCTGCCAACCCCATAAATTAATACCAAAATTGGCAGAAAAATTTGGGTTCGTAAAAAAGTACATTTTTTTCATTTTGGTAGATCTTGGTTAAAGTATGTTATTTCAAAAACAAATAAAACTTTTCGTTCCCGCTTTATTTTTCGTAGTTAAATATCTTAGTTTTTCCATTTCTTTCCAAAGGTGAAGCTACATTCCTGCGGGGCATTTGCCTGCCTAAATTATTTAAATAATTCCTTAAAAAAGGAAAAATGGGCAGGGAAGTAATTACACACTATGATTGATAGCAGGAAAATTCAAAAAAATCAACGCAGTTTTTATAAGTTACAATTATTAAATTAAAAAAAAAACGCTAAAAGACCGGAGGAAAAAAAATTTAAAAAAAAAAAATAAACACAAAATTTTATTGGTTATATTAAAATTCAGAGTAAAAAGTTCAAAATTAGACGGCAAATTATGGAAATTTTGTCCTATAAAGTTAAATTTTTACTGAAATAACTAAAATAATAGAACAAAACCATAGATTTTATGAAAACAACTAAAATAGTGGCTGAATTTCTTTATTCATTCTGAACGTTTGGAATAAACTATTCTGTTTATTTATTCTTTAGAACGTTCCTGATGATATGTTGACGTATATTTCAAACGCATTCTGTTTATTCCGGCTGTGAAATGGGATTATCCGGAATGTATAAAGAAACGCAGCCAGTAATTGGTAGTTACTTTCCAGAATTGGTATACTTTTTTGAAGCCAATGCTAAGAATTTTTACTAGTGGCAGCCCTAGTTCCAGCCCCAATTTCCTAGAACTCCGCGATCAAAAATTTGACATTCAATTTTTTACTGCAGAAGTGACAAGTGGTAAGTTTTTGTGAAAAATTTTTTGCCAATAAGATATGTAAAGTAAATTATAATTAATAATAATTAAAGTAAATGCAATTAGCTACGTATATATAACCCTTAATCAAAGTAAAAAGCCTTCATAGAAAGGGAGACTACTTTTCCCATGATTTCTAAGTATTCCTAAATTCATATGACTACCTAATAAATATTTTTAATTTTCTTATATTTTTAGAGTTTAAAAACCAGATTACTTTTCAAACCAAAACAAGATGTTCGTAGTACGTCGCAGCGCAGCGTGCATTTATCCCAAGGGAATGCAGTAAGTATTGCACAGTCATCACGTCTCCGAAATCACACAAAGGGACCGGCATATTTTTAGATTTTCTTTTTGCATGCGTATTAAAAAATTGCGCAGAATACCACCTTTACTTACTATGTATTTAATTTTTGTTTTAATATCGAGAAAAGTAAAACCCAAATAGCGTACGAATTCGAAAGTTCGGCAAAGTTCTTAAATTATCGTTAGTGGTTATGT